ATCCATTCCCATTTACAACATTTTAAAACTCATTTAGTCAATTACAGTGTTGACTATGTGACGCATAGATCTGTCAATCGTTGGGTTCTCAGTATCAGAGATGAAAATATATAATTGTAATTTTTACTGAGTGAAAAATTGAAAGAAAAAAAATACGTTCATGTTGTGGATGACATCCCATTGACTGTGACGTCATAATAACATGGTGGTTGATAATGCCCTTCCTGGTTGGGGGTTCGTATTCACAAATGTGTAAAATGGTACCATTGACATAGAATGTGTTTTTCTTGAAGGCCGCTGGTTGGCCAATGTAATCCCCAATATGATCACGTGACTGCTATTGCATTCATCTTTGCCGTATAAATGTTGGCTTAAAACTGCAATTCACATTTTGAACTCAGCCAAGAGCAAACTGAGTAAAATGGCTCGTACCAAGCAAACCGCACGTAAATCTACTGGTGGAAAGGCTCCACGCAAGCAGTTGGCAACCAAGGCCGCTCGTAAGAGTGCACCTGCTTCGACGGGTGGAGTCAAGAAACCCCATCGTTACAGGCCGGGTACCGTCGCTCTTCGTGAAATCCGTCGTTATCAGAAGAGCACAGAATTGCTGATCCGTAAGCTACCATTCCAACGCCTAGTTCGAGAAATTGCTCAGGATTTTAAAACTGATCTTCGATTTCAGTCAGCAGCGATCGGCGCTTTACAGGAAGCCAGCGAAGCTTACTTGGTTGGCCTGTTTGAAGATTGTAACCTTTGCGCTATCCACGCACAACGTGTCACCATCATGCCAAAGGACATGCAGCTAGCTCGTCGTATCAGAGGCGAACGAGCTTAACCAACGACAGACCTGGCAATACCTTGTCAGTCCTATCAACCAACCGAACAAACCGGCTCTTTTCAGAGCCACCACACCCTCCAAAAAGGGAACTAGCGTAACACTTCCCCAATACTAAACGAATTCCCACAACACATCAGTATAGCTATGATCGTGGGTCATTTGTTTCACTCGTTTAGAAAGATTTAATGGAAATAAATTTAGAAATAATTTATGGCATAATTTTGAGGCATTATGAGGAGTCCTGATACACAATAATAACGTTGTGATAAATGTAAGCAATAACCGTCGCCAAAGTTGCGTACACCACAAGGTCATAATGCACTGTTTTGCGACTTACACGCAGTGACTTGTCCATTGCCAAGTGATATACGTTACTTAACATAACATAATCATTGCTATTGTATTATATTATCATTATTTCCTCATAGTTTTTAGCGTTGAAAATAGCAATAAAACGAACAAAATTGCGAAAAACAAAATCAAACTGCAACGGCGCGTTTTGGGTGCTTCCGGGGTAAAGTATAATGTGCCCAGAAACTAGCATTTTTCCATTTGAGATATACCGAGGCCAGAGTAAATTTTAACATGCCGTTGTTGAAATTAAGTTCGTGTTCAAATTGTATTTTTTGTGGAGAATTTGATAGATATGGCGACATTATAATAAAGCTATTTCGAAAAAAATACTGCACCCAACGCTCCACTCAATCGTTTAGTAATCATTTACATAGGGCATAACTTCGAAACTATGACCCATGGATAACGGTCGATTATGATCTATTTACCATGACTTGATTTGGACGATGAGGTCGATAAACACCTTCCAACGTGGCTTTATTGTCTTACGGTGAAATAGTTAGCATGTAGTACACGATAATGTGTTCACGACATCTCACCATTGTCCAGGTGAGTGTAATCAATAATCGTCGTATTTGCACGTATATATAC